CAGGGTCTCTCTGTAGCTCAGACTGACCTCAAACTTGCAGCGATTTTCTTGCCTCAGCCTCCCAAATGCTGGGATTATACACATGTACTACCATACCCCACCCAAAAATCCAAATTTAAGAGCTAAAAATATATTAACACTCTTGAAATACACAGATATAAATCTTCATAACTAGGCGATGATTTCTTAGTTACTGAAGGAGTAAGAACCAAAAATAAATTGTACTGCATTAAAATGAAAAACTTTAGTATCAAAGGATACTATCAAGCAAGTGAAGACAACTAATAGAATGAAATATAAATTCTGTAAGGACTGAACACCCAGAATATGTAAAGACATCTTGTACCTCTACAATAAAAAGGTAAACCAATTTAAAGGCTTATGAACAGGATCTGAATAGACATTTTAGAAATGTGCAAACGAGCAATAAATATGGAAAGATGGTCAATATCCCACCCATTAAGGAAATGCAAATCAAAACCGCAAGGAAAATACCACTTCCTACTAAGATATACAAAATAAAAAAGGAAATTAAAATGGTTGAGCATAGATCAGGACAGTACAGGCCTGTAATCCCTGGCCTTTCATAGGCTGTGGTAGGAGAATCATAGGTTCAAGGCCAACCTAGGCAATTTATTTTTTTATTATTTTTTTGGTACTGGGAATCAAACTCAGGACCTTATGCTTGCCAGGCAGGCGCTTATGCCATTGAGCTATATCCCTGGCCTAACCTAGGCAATTTAGACCATCTCAAAATTTAAGGGGAAAAAAAAAAAAAAAAAAAGGCTGGGACCAGGCATGGTGATATATTCTTGTAATTCCAGCTACTCAGAAGGCTGAGGTGGGATTACAAGGCCAGTTTGGGCAAGTTAATGAGACCCTGTCTCAAAAAAGAGGAGGAATGTTAGGGATGTAACTCAGTGGCAGAGTGCTTATCCAGTATGCACGAGATGCTGGGTTTGACCTCAAGTGTGTGTGGGGGTGGGGGTGATGGTACTGAGTATGTGGAGAAGTGTAACCCTCATAGATTGCTGGTAGAAATGTAAACTGTGCAGCAGTTGTGACAATCTGGCAATTTCTCAAAAGGTTAGAGTCACCTTACAACCTAGCAATCCCACTCCTGGTTATGTACCCAAATGAACTGAAAACATGTCCACACACTTCCACAGAATATTCAAAATAACCACAAAGGTGAACCACAAATGTTAATCACCTACTATGTGCATAGGCACACAACAAAGTATTACTTGTGAATGATAATAGCAATGAAGAATATGCCACAGGCAGATGCACCTTGGAAACATAATGCTATGTCAAAGAACCTTGTTACAGATCAGATTGATTCCATTATAATGTCCAGAACAGGCAAATCTATAACAACAGTAAGATTAGCAATAGCCTATGGCTGGAGAAAGAAGGAACAGGGAATTAACTGCTTATGAGTATATGGCTTTTGGGGGAAGACTGGCAAAAATATCTTGGATTAGTAGTAACTATTGCACAACAGGGTGAATATACTATAACCCACTGAACTGTACACATTACAGTGGTGAATTTGGCTGGGAATGGTGGTGCATGTCTGTAATCCCAGCACCTGGGAGGCTGAGGCAGGAGGGTCACTGAGAGTTTCAGGCCATCGTAGACTATATAGTGAGTTAAAGGTCAGCCTTAACTACATAGCAAAAACCTGTCCAAAAAAACAAAACAAACCTGATTGTAAAGGCCCTGGGTTCAATCCTCAGTAGTGAAGACTAAAATGGTGAATATAGTGGTATATGTGCTCTAAAGAAGGGTAGAGGTTACGGTCAGCAGCATCAGGTGGAGCCATGCAGCCAGATGAGGCCAGGTATACAGAGATCACAGGATCTAAGCACGAAGCTGTCCACACCATAGCCCCTTTTCTCTCCTGCCATCATCATTCTTTAATTCCAGTGATCCTGACAGGTGTGATTCTGTGGTTCCATCCTTGTTTAGGAGTGGGCAGCTGAACGTCGTGATGCACATTTGTAATCCCAGAACTTGGGAGGCAGAGGTGCAGGATCACTTTGAGTTTGAGGCCAGCCTGGGCTACATGGTGAGACTGTTTCAAAAAACTGAAGAGGAAAAAAATGTGCAGGTTAACTGAATATGCTGGCATACAGCTGTAGTCCCAGCACTCTGGAGACTGAGACAGGAAGATTACTGTAAGTTCAAGGACAGCCTGGGCCTATGTGGTGAGGTTAAGCCTGAACTAGACAGGGGGACCCTGTCTCAAAAATGGGCAAGCCAGCTTTCCAACGAAACACAGGCTGCTAAGCTTTCCGGAAGGTAATTTTTAGAGAAAAAAACTAAGTTGGGCTACCTCTGGTGTGTGGTTGTAATGCGTGGACCAAACTACTTGGAGGCCAGGTAGTTGGACAATAGCCAAGGGCAAACCAGAACCACCTGGGTCCATACAGCCACCCTACCTTGATGGCTTGTCCTTAAGAATTTCTGCTTGGGATGATGAAGAGTGCCTAGAAATAGGTCATGGTTATGGTTACACAATATTGTGAATGTATTTAATGCCAATGCATTACTGTACATACTCAAAAAAGATCTGCAGAGCAAGCTTTGACCAAGTGAAAGAACAAGGAAGATAAAAAGCATACCCTAGAAGACACAGGGCAGGCTGTTGTGAGGAAAGCCATGGAAGCCTCTTTTCTTCTCTTTTAGAGAGACAGGGTCTCTATGTAGTTTAGGCTGGCCTTGAACTCACGGCAATCCTACTGGCCTCAGCTTCCCAAGTGCTACAATCATAGGCATGAGCCGCCTTACCTGGCAGTCTTGTCCTTCTTGACTTTATTAACCTTTTTTTTTGGTGGCGGGGTACTGGGAATCGAACTCATGACCTCAGGCTTTCCAGGCAAGCCCTTATGCTGCTGAGCTATATCCTCAGCCCTAACTTTTCTTTCTTATAGGTCAAAGCGAACCTTGATGTAGGTAACTAGTGACCACAGGACGGGTTAAAATTGGCATGACCACTGGGAGAAAGGTCCACTATTTCCACTATTATTATTTTTTTTCTTCATCTTTTTTTTTTTCAGTTTGGTTTTTTTCCAGTATTGGGAATTGAACTCACGACCTTGCACTTGCCAGGCAGGCGCTGTGCTGCTGATCTAAATCCCCAGCCTCACTTTGTCTTTTTTGAGACAGGGTCTCACTATGCAGTTCAGGCTGGTCTTGAGCTCACTTTGGCCTCCAACACACAACGATCATCCTGCCTCAGGCTCTCGAGTGCTGGGATTACAGGCGTGTGCCATGACACCCAGCCATATTGTTTGAGACAGGGTCTCACAATGTAGTTCAGGGTGGCCTTGAACTCTTGGCGATCCTCCTGAGTCCTGGGATTACAGGCATGTGCCACCTCATTTGGCTTGCCCTTTTATATTATGTCCAGGTTTTATAGCTCAGGACAAGGCTGGGACCAAACACACTATACCTTAGTGTAAGTTCTTGTATGTTTTATTTTACTGGTTCAAAGCTGGTCAAATCAGTAAATATGGTCCAGAAAGAAAAAAAGTTCAAATTCACCATATTCATCCTGTTTACCTGTCCCTTTTATGCAGCCATGAAAGTTATGGGCTGGGGACACAGCTCAGTGGAAGAGTGCTTGCCTACCAAGTGCAAGGTTTAGAGTTTGATTCCCTGTTCTAGCAAAAAAACAAGTTAATACCAGACTTAACCTTGACCTGCCATACTCCATAGTTTAACTACAAAACTGGGGTAATGCCATCTCATAGCACAGGCCCCAAGATGGAATAGGAACACACAACAGCTACTAGCACAGTCCATGGCTAAGCAGATTTCACTCCATCTGAAGAAATCTTGATAAAGTTTCAACTACACTTACCAACCTGCCTTAGCCCTAGCCATTCTAAGACACCCTCCAGAGTACCAATTCTGGAAGGTGACACCTCCTCACAAACAGGAAACATCTACAGCCTAGGCCTTCAGCAATAATGAAATGAAAAGCAGCCTAAATGAAATGGCATTTTATTGACTTTGCCCCAAATACACTTTCAATATTTTTGACTAGTTAAGTGGGAGTCTGAATCCTGAGTATTCTTTTAAACTTGCTGCTCACAGATGTACAAGAACCTTTCCTCACTGTCCCTAACCCATAAAATGAATGTAACACTTGCATCACACTGCTGTCTCAAGACTGAAGGTAAGCTAGTACACACTATCTTCAGGAATGAGGCCCCCTCCCCACCAAAAAAAAGAGATTGAAGCTAACTGGTAGGTTTTGTCTGGGAGGGAGGGCATGGGAGATGAAACCCAGGGCTTTGCACATGATAGGCAAGTGTTTTACCTTTCTGACACGGGACAAGGCAATTTTGTAGTCTATAATTTACTAACCCCCTCCTCAAACCTACAACCAGATGGTCTATTAAAGCACTTAAATTGCAGCCATAAATTTATTAACAGTTCCATATGCTAATGTAAACTCTTAATAAACATGTTTCTACAGATTTTTTAACAATCCCCATTAACATATTTATAGCTCTCCTTAGGAGCTAAGTGTAAACTACCTCACATACCTTACATCCAGATATAGATGTCTGACAGCTACAGTAGATTCTATTTTTTTTTTTTTTTTTTTTTTTTTTTTTCTCCGGTACCGGGAACTGAACTCACGACCTTGCACTTGCCAGGCAGGCGCTTTGCCGCTGAGCTAAATCCCCAGCCCCTACAGTAGATTCTATTAATCCAACTTTAGCCGCTGTCACTGTGAATGAAGTGGGAATTTTTCTGGCTGTCGGAGAATAAACTGCTGGGAATGCAGCATAACCACATACAGAAACCACTTCTCTATTCTGACCATCAACACCTGTCTACTCTCAGAATCCTTCCCAACTTGAAGGCCAACCATAGACCAATGTACTTTGCAGTGGAACCTCTACACCCTACCCCTGAATGCATCCAGTCCCGAGACAGAAGCCAGGTTCCTCACTGGTGGGAAAAGATCAGAGGCAGCATTCCAAGCCAAACTGTATCCAGCTTTATTAAAGATACTTTTCATAAACAATCATGGTATTTCAGGCAGGACATGGGCACACAATCGTTAACAGTATACAACAACTTTCAAACTCCCTTCTTGGATGGACTACCAAAAATCAGAAAGCCACTATAAAATCCAATGAAGTCTTCATTTGAGGCTCTGAAGTAGGGAAAGTTTAGAGTGAGGGTTGACATTTCACATTTAGCATGTTGTTTAACAACTTTTCACAAGCCGACCCTGACTTTCAGGAAATGAAAATGGCAGAATTATCAATCTGAAGATCCACAATCTAGAAAAGGAAATAATTGCTCTTGTGGGACACCATCTCAACGTTACTGGCAAGTCCAGATTGCCTGACACACTGGTAACACCAATTTTGGGAATCAGGTCCCAAGAGGTCTCTGGGCTTAAGGGAGTTAAGTCTATGCTGATGGCAGAGGAAAGGAGGACATAGAATGAACTGGGAGTTGTCCCATACCACAAGGCATTTTTGCCAAGGTGGCCACATGTGTCAACATCAGGGAATCCCTCCTCCTGGGAGTCAAGAGGAAGTCTCTCAAAACTAGCAGGGGAAGGTGCTTTCCCCACACCAATCCAGCTTTGGAGACATTGTACTACTGACATATGCTCCTTCCCCCCAAAACAACAATGAAGTGTTCTGTGTGCTAACAACATAGCTTAAAAAAAAAAGTAAAACAAAATTCTGCATTTTTATAAAACTTGATAAAAAATAGTATTTCAAACTGTACAGTCACCAGAAGTACACAGTTATCAAAAATGCACACACTTCACTTGGCATCTCCAGCACCTTCAGCTTTTTGTGCCTGAAAGAAAGAAAGAAAAAAGCAGATTAACACATAGATTTTAAAGCTTTGTCCACATTCTCCTTACAGAATCATTTTGTTCTTAAACCAAAATTCAGGTTTAGAGTACTTAAGACACTAAGACTGTAATTCTTTTTTGTTTTGTTTTTTTTCCGGTACTGGGAATCGAATTCACAATCTTGCGCTTGCCAGGCAGGTGCTGTGCCGCTGAGCTAAATGTCCAGCCCCAAGACTGTAATTCTTTTAAGAATGGCCTTGCTAGGCAACTTTGCTAAGGTACCACCTCCTGGCCAGGCCTTACTGTACAACTGAGGAAAAGGGCATAACAAGACCACCTGAGGTTACTCCCAATTTAAAAACTCTATGGTGCATAGTGTACTATGAGTGTAGTACCTCCCGAAAGGACAACACAGTGCCTTTAAGGTGAAAGCACAGATTAAGACTCCAACTTGTAAAGAATCTCATCTGTGTTAACAGGAAAATCATAACGTATCTAGAGTGATGTAGATAAAAGAAAAGGGCAGTAAGTTTTTAGGATCAGTAACCAACTGAATAACCACACTTAAACAGCAACTATACCTGGTCTGTTTTGGCATCTCCATTTTCTGCAGGGTTATTCCCATCCTTGCCGGCATCAGCTTTTCCCTTTTTCCCTTTGGGTACCTTCTCTCCCTTCTAAAAGTAAGGAAAAATAGAACTGTTTCTCCCCCTTTACATTACTAGCATGTGTTAATGCAAAGTGCTGCACAAGGTTTTGGTTGGTTTACTTTTTCTAAGAAATGTTAACTATACTGAATTGTAATTTCCTGTCGTCTTGAGCATACAAAAATTCATATGCAAGCATAATAGAATAAAACCAAACATTTAAGATGTTAATGCAAAATTTTCTATAAAATGGTGACAAAATTCTTCATTAGAAAGCCAATGTTATACATATTACAACTGAGCTGAGCTACCAAAACACCTTATGGAGTCACAAAATATGCTGAATTAGATTAAGGTAGTGAGAAAGGTTTTTTTTTTTTTGGAGACAAAGTCTTGCAGTATGGTCCAGGGTGAGCTCTGAACTCACTATGTAGCCCAGGCTGGCCCTGAACTCATGGTAATGAGTTCCTCCTGAGTGCTGGCATTACAGGCATGTGCCACCAGGCTTAGCTAAGTAGTGAGAGTTTTTCAAGACAGAGTCTCACTGTTCAGGTTGCTGTGAATTCACTATGTAGCCTAGGCTGGCCTCCAACTCATGATCCTCCTGCCTCAGCCTCACCAGTGCTGGATTAAAGGTATAAACTACTACACAGGGCAAAAGACAATTTTTCTGTGAAAAGTACCAATTCCAGTGTTAGTATAATTGTCTCTCAGCTTCACTTACCTTTGCAGGGGCCTTTTTAGGCTTGGGCTCTGGCTTTGGAGGAGCGGGTTTCTTATTTTGGCAGGCAGAGAAGATGAGAATATTAATACAGTGATTCAAAGACAACAACCCACAACCAGGCCACAATACTGACAGCTTAGAATTTTCTACTTGTCAAAGTTTTTATGGCTAGCTCCCTTTTAGAAAGGTAACACATTATGCGTCCTGCCTTGGGTGGTCACCAGAATCTCAGCACCTTTAAAGCCACATGTGCAACAGCCTGAGGCAGACGTTCAAACCACTTTCTAATCAAGCCACCAGAAGCAGAACTGTTCTGGGGCCTCTCAGTTTTAAGGATGAGTATGAAAAAAATTTAAAGCACACACACTTACAGCAGACAACCTTGCAGATCTTCTCTGTGGCTATTAAAATAAGAAACCAAGAAAGTTAGACAACTAAGGAAAAGTTTTGTCCCCATCTGTTCTAGACCACAAGAAACGACGGCAGGGTCTTTAGGCAAACTCAGGCCGCGGGCTGCGGTTAATTCCCGCCAACAGGGTCCCGTTGCCCTTTCTGTCCAAGGCTCTGCACGACCCCCTCCAGAAAGTAACACTTACTTCGTCCTTCACCTTGGCTTTATCACCTTTAGCATCCCCTTCAGCCTAGAAAATACAATAAAAAAACCTGTAGCTTCTAAGAGAATCTCAGCTGGGTCCCTAAACTTAACCAGATTGTAAGACAAAACTGAGAAACGTCAGCGTTTGCAGGACCCGTATGCCCGGCTTCCAGCGAGCGGCCCGAGCGCCCGGGACGCCGGCAGCTCGCCCTGAGCGGGAGGCGCGCGCGGAGGGCCCGGCCTGAGCGCGCCGAGCTGGAGCAACAGCTGCAGCTGGTGCAAACAAACCCTCCGGAGGCGGAGTCGAGCGCCGTTGCCATGGCAGCCGTCGAGGGCGGGTGAGGGAGGCGCGCGCGACACAAGGAACTCGTGGGCGGCGGCGGCGCGCGTCTCGAGCGCGGGGAACGTGGGCGGACGGGGGCGGGGCC